ATATAGGTGAATTTTTGGGTCTTTTGTATTGTATATAAGATAAAAGCAGGCCAGTCGGTGGCATGGTGGTTAAGGCAACTGCATGCCACATGACTGACTATGTAGTTCAAGTTCCAGACCCAGTGGCATATGAAACTTGCTAGGCAAGTGAGCATGCATGCCCAAAATCCTGAAAGGAGGGAGAAAGAGGAGAAAGGATTGCAGCATGATCATTTCCCCTGGAGAGTGCTTCCTCACTTTCCCTTCCACTCTCTCTCTTTCCCAGCAAGCATATGTACCCTCTAGAAAATGAAAATAAAAAAGAGAGAGATGCAATACTCTGAGTAAATATTAAAAAAAAAAAAGAAAAAGAAAAAGAAAAAGATGATCAGGGCAGCCAGTAGCACAGTGTTTAAGTTCAGGGCTAACTTAGTCAGCTAACAGGTTTGAGTCCCACCCCTGTTAGCTTAAAAAACAACCTGGGTACATGGATACGGGTGCCCAAAATCATGACAGGGAAGAGAAAAAGGAGGAAAAAGAATTGCAGCATGACCACACCTCACTGAAAAATGCTTTCTCTCTGACTCACTCTGCCTCTAGGACTGCTATACTTTCTGGCCATCAGGGAAAAAAAAAAAAAGACTACATAAAGATATTAGTTTACACTGGCTTCTAAATATTTGAAAATTTCTCACATTTGGGTCTTTATTTGTGTGTGATATGTGTATGTGTATGTACAATGTAAGACTAAGTTCCAATTTTCATTTTGTCCATATGGGTAACCAATCACTACAGCATCACTTTCAATAACAGTTCCTTGTTTGCCCACAAATCTATAGTACCTTTCAGTTCACAATCAAGAGTTCACAGATGTGTAGAGTCTGTGTTTGGGTTCCTGCTACTGCTGTAATTGTCCATCCAAACACAAGTGCTCCACTGTCCTAACTCCTATATCTTTATTGGAAACCTAAATCCTGAGTGGGCAACAGCCCCAGCTTGCTGCTGTTTAGAACTGCTCTGTAATTCCTGGGCCATTGCTCTTCTGTATAAAACTGCACAGTCAGCATGCTGGGTTAAAACAAACAAACAGAATTGCATAACATGTTTTAATTTAGTGGGAAAATAATGGACATCTTTTTGACATTGAATCTATGTATAAATATGGTTCAATTATTTATTTATTTAGGATTCTGAAAATATCTTTTAGCAAAGTTTATCATTTTCTACATAAAAGTAATATACTTTTTAAAAGTATTTCTTAGTAGGAACTTAGTTTATGTATTTATTTATTTATTTTGCCATAATGGTATCCTTAATATCCTTAAAATTCTCTTTAGTTCACTAATCATGAATAGAAATTGATTTCAAAGTACTTTGGCTTATTCAGAAAAGCTGCTAATTTCTTACTAATTTTAACAATTTATCTGCAAATGGTCAGTCATCTGTAAATAATGAGTTTTGTTCCTTCCTCTCCAATGTTTATACCTTTTGTTTTCCTTGTCTTATTACCTTGATGAATGCTGCATTCAAGAATTCTACTAGGACCAGCAGGTGGCATGGTGGTTAAGGCGCTGGACTCTCACATGGTGGACCATGATTCGAGTTCCACACCTGGTGGCTTGGTTTCTCACTTTCCCTCCTTCCCTCCATTTTTCTCT